GCGGTCATGAGCTGTGGTAAAATCAATCATCAAACTCACCCCTGTCCTACCATGTGACAGGTTATTGTTTTAGAAAATCGATATTTAAACGTGATTGGGTGGGGGGGGGTATATGAGTCAAGTGCATGAATTAGATACCTATAGACTGATCAATCTGCAACATATCGATCCACCCCAGACAGCTGGTTGACGTCTGCCTAGGATTTGAAACAAAACGTTGGACGGGGGGGGGGGGGGGCATTTGAGCTGGGGTGTGACAAGGATAAGGGTCGTGGGGGGGGGGGGGGGACAAAATAGCCGCGTAAAGATCTTGAGGACAAAATATAGGACAATAAAGAGGACAATATATAGGACAATATAAAGGACAAAATGATGAGATTGACAGAAATTGATGTTAAAACTGGAAGTAATTGAAACAAAAAAACTTGTTTGTAATCTCATGGTGGTGTGTTGGTGGTCTGTTGGTGGTCTGTTGGTGGTCTGTTGGTGTTGTGTTGGTGGTCTCATGGTGGTGTGTTGGTGGTCTGTTGGTGGTGTGTTGGTGGTCTGTTGGTGGTCTGTTGGTGGTGTGTTGGTGGTCTGTTGGTGTTGTGTTGGTGGTCTCATGGTAGTGTGTTGGTGGTCTCATGGTGGTGTGTTGGTGGTCTGTTGGTGGTCTGTTGGTGGTGTGTTGGTGGTCTGTTGGTGTTGTGTTGGTGGTCTCATGGTGGTCCGTTGGTGGTCTGTTGGTGGTCTGTTGGTGGTCTGTTGGTGGTCTCATGGTGGTGTGTTGGTGGTCTCATGGTGGTGTGTTGGTGGTCTCTTGGTGGTGTGTTGATGTTGTGTTGATGGAGTGTTGGTGGTCTCATGGTGGTGTGTTGATGTTGTGTTGGTGGTGTGTTGGTGGTCTCATGATGGTGTGTTGATGGTGTGTTGGTGGTGTGTTGGTGGTGTGTTGGTAGTCTCATGATGGTGTGTTGATGGTGTGTTGTTTGTGTGTTGGTGGTGTGTTGATGGTGTGTTGGTGGTCTCATGATGGTGTGTTGATGGTGTGTTGGTGGTCTGTTTGTGGTCTCATGATGGTGTGTTGGTGGTCTCATGGTGGTGTATTGGTGGTCTCATGGTGGTGTGTTGATGGTGTGTTGGTGGTCTGTTTGTGGTCTCATGATGGTGTGTTGGTGGTCTCATGGTGGTGTGTTGATGGTGTGTCGGTGGTCTGTTGGTGGTGTGTTGTGTTGGTGGTCTCTTGGTGGTGTGTTGATGGTGTGTTGGTGGTCTCATGGTGGTGTGTTGGTGGTCTCTTGGTGGTGTGTTGGTGGTGTGTTCGTGGTCTCATGGTGGTGTGTTGGTGGTCTCATGGTGGTGTGTTGGTGGTGTGTTGGTGGTCTCATGGTGGTGTATTGGTGGTCTCTTGGTGGTGTGTTGATGGTGTGCTGGTGGTCTCATGGTGGTGTGTTGGTGGTCTCATGGTGGTGTGTTGGTGGTGTGTTGATGGCGTGTTGGTGTCTCATGGTGGTGTGTTGATGGTCTCATGGTGGTGTGTTGATGGTGTGTTGATGGTCTCATGGTGGTGTGTTGATGGTGTGTTGGTGGTCTCATGGTGCTGTATTGCTGGTGTGTTGTTTGTGTGTTGATTTTGTGTTGGTGGTGTGTTGATGGTGTGTTGGTGGTCCCATTGTGGTGTGTTAGTGTGAGTGACCACATGGCATCTGTTAGCAATCAGCGGAGGGACCTCAACACCTCAGCCGCGTCATTTCGCTGACAAATGTTTTTTTAAAGTTTCGAATAGTAATTTTTTTTGTCTACCTTACAAATGTTTGAATATATTCTGGTCGATGTTTGAGTATTTTACTATCCAGCAACAGATTGTGACTAATTAACGTTTAACTGTCCAACTATTAATAGAAGTCAGCTTGTCATGGTTTTAGCGTTAGGTTAGGCTTTTTATCGTCACATTTTTAAAAATCTTTCCACAATTTTAGCACGGTCGGCCATTTTCCGAATGTAGGACAATAATCAAGTGTAGGACATTATGATGTGTAGGACATTATGATGTGTAGGACATTAGCCAGGTGTAGGACACGTGCATGAACATTACCCTAAAGTAAGGCCTGTCTGTTTTCCCCCATTATGCATCCTATAAAGATGTGGCCTTATATGGCCAGGGGCGGAACTACAACGGGGGGGGGGCACACCATTTAGGGGCCCATAGCCGACCATAATAAATTTTTTATAGTTAAAAAAAATAATGTTCTTGCATTTTTGACTTGACGGTAAAAGCTTTTGCAAATAACAAATAGGTCTACAACAGCAGTGATGTTATACAGTAGCTTACACATGCTGTTGCGTAAAAAATATACGCCTGAGCTGTAGTGTGAAAGATAGGCAAACGTTCAAAACACTTCATGACTTATTTCCCTATTTAAATGGTTAAATAGGGGTGCTCATAAGCTCCTTTCAATAAATGTGTACTAAACAAATTAAAAGGCAATTACTTTTCTTAATTTTTTCGTAATAGAGCTCATATAAAGAGAATTTCACTCGCGGTCACTTTTTAGCCCTCGTCGAGGGCTTTGAGTAAAATCGACAGTTTTACCTAAAGGTCAAGCCATTGACCTAAAAGTATGCAAATATTTAACCAGATATACTGAGTTTAAGTACCCTAAAGTCTGCGTTGAAATGACCCTCTGTTTTTCCCATAAAATACAAAGATTATATAGGGAAATACAACTGGTCAGTTTTGACCCCTTTACGAAGTTTTCCCAGATATGCCGAGTTTTTTGTGACACCCCAAGGCGTTCTCCTACCACCTCACAAAATTTCAAGGGGGGTCGTCGGAGGAAATTTTTTTTTCGTAATATAGCACATATAAGGCGCCGGTCAGTCGAGGTCAGTTTTGACCCCCTCACCGTAGACTTTTTGCCGAACCGTCACCGGCCCTCGTGTTCTATCGCCCCAAGGCACCATCGTGCCAAATCTGACGCCCTATCGGGCACTTGACCACTTTGCTTTATATATATAAATATATATATATATATATATATATATATATATATATATATATATATATATATATATATATATATATATACATATATATATATATATATATATATATATATATATATATATATACATATATATATATATATATATATATATATATATATATATATATATATATATATATATATATATATATATATATATATATATATATATATATATATATATATATATATATATACATATATATATATATATATATATATATATATATATATATATATATATATATATATATATATATATATATATATATATATATATATATCCATATCCATATCCATATCCTTATCCATATCCATATCCATATCCATATATATATATATATATATATATATATATATATATATATATATATATATATATATATATATATATGGGGGGGGGCAGAATTATTTTTTTGCGGGGTGGTCCTTTTTTTCTAGTTCCGCCACTGTATATGGCCCATGTTGATGTGGCCTTATATGGCCCATGGTACACACGATTATTGACTCCAGTTGTTGTCACTGACTCCAGTTGTTGTGACTGACTCCAGTTGTTGTCACTGACTCTAGTTGTTGTCACTGACTCCAGTTGTTGTCACTGACTCCAGTTGTTGTCACTGACTCCAGTTGTTGTCACTGACTCCAGTTGTTGTCACTGACTCCAGTTGTTGTCACTGACTCCAGTTGTTGTCACTGACTCCAATTGTTGTCACTGACTCCAATTGTTTTCACTGACTCCAATTGTTGTCACTGACTCCAGTTGTTTTCACTGACTCCAGTAAGATTCCCATTATCAAAAGCGTAACAAAAACTAGTGTCAAGCGGTTTTTGACATTCGTGATGACAAGTCGTGCTAAAATCTTGGAGGTCAAAAACTGTATCACACAAGTAAACACATCCCTACCCCCCCCCCCCCCCACTGAGCAAGTATAGCAACAGTATCTGCACCGTTGTTTTTAAATAGATAAATAGTGTATGTAATGTACAACACACTGAAATCATAAATAGTTTATGTAATGTACAACACACTCAAATCAACTTCCTATTCTCTGGTAGCAAACCTAGATCTTGTCGTGGTCTGTGTCGTGTCTTACTGTTAGGGTCAGGGGATGCAGGGGAGTAAAAGATGCAAGGGTTGCATCACGGCCCCACACATTTACATCTAAACAATTACCGTTAATTACTCCCCGGACATCCCCCCCCCAACCCGACATTACCACTGGAGTAATTACCCCTGTCAATTACCCCCTGTTCAGTAAGACATTACCCCCCCCCGTCAGTTAGGTACAGTTAGATAGAGGGTTTGAGTAATGGTTAGCCCTAGGGTCAGGGTTAAGTTTAGGGTTAGGGTCAGGGTTAGGGTCAGGGTTAAGGTTAGGGTTAGGGTTAGGTTTGCGTTTAGTTTTAGGCTGAGGAAAATGCTTCAGTTCAGGCTTTTTCTTAAGGTAAGGGTTAATGTGAGTTATATTACTAGGATTCTTGGGGTTGGGGGAGGGAGGGGTGGTAATTGACGGGTGGTGGTAATGTCATAGACCCCTAAAATGGGGGGGGGGGCAAGGGGGCACTCATTGAAATCTAAAGAAAAATTGTGGGGGTCGCACATTGAACAATAAATGTGGGGCACATTTTGAACAATAAAAAGTGGGGTCACACATTGAAAGCTAAACAAAAAAACATATGGGTCATACAATGAACAACAATTGTATGGTTACACACAGTTGACGCTTGAACAACAAATGTATGGTTACACACAGTTGACGCTTGAACAACAAATGTATGGTTACACACAGTTGACGCTACACTAAATATGCGGGCTATCACCGAATGCTTGCAAGTATCGATACCGGGTTTGTCACCGAGTACTGGCCGTGTGCGAGTATCGATGCTGGTGAAATCGTATCGCCTATCACGAGCAGGAAACGCTGAGTGAAGCAGCGACATGACGTGACGAGGTCTCCTACCTAACAGCCGCGGCGTCGCGAGCTTTAGCGGGCGAAAACTCTCGAACCCTGTCGTCTGCTATTGGTGCTACATACCAGCAGACAATTATCGCACCGCCCCGGCCTCGCGATATTCCAGTGGAAGAGAAACTTGTTTAAAGGGAAATAATAATTTTTCTCTGAACCGTTTGTTGCGGACCCTGGCTGATCACGTGATATAAACAAGACAGTGTGTGTTGGAGGAGGCTCGCGAGGGAATGTTTCCATATGCTTGTCTCGCCGTGTCTGTGTAGCGAGATCTACCACTAGATCGCCTGGGCTGATTCGCTCTCTGCTGGAGATTGAGTTATGTAGCTGAGGCATCGGCCTGCATTCGTTAGACATGGGACGCAATCACCACAACACAACTCTCTCGGCTCACTGGAAATAAAGTCGTCTGCTGATTGTAAGGATATTTCTAGACACGATGCTGCCCCGTAGGACTTTCCGAGTGGGCGTCGTCCTGTTGTGGGTAGGGGCGCTGACCCTTGGCCTGAGGGGGGCCGGGTACTTTCTCAACGTGCTTGGTGTGGACATTACGGGAACCAACAACGATGTTTTCAAGTCACGTGACGCCCCTGACATGTCGTACAGCAGTCCTGATGGATACCACTATTACCACCCCTCCAGTCCTAATGGATACCACCCCTCCATGCTACACGGTAAGATTTATCCTTAATATCCCAAGTTTGTATACGTTAGGATACCTCCATTCATTGCTCGCGGTTTGTGTTTTGGGTAAATTTTCTACGTTGTTGCCAGAACTAGAGTTGCTTTTACTAAATTTAGGCATCTACTTGGGGAGCTCGCCCCCCCCCCCCCCCCGTAGAAAAAAGTCTGAAAGAAACACTGGCAACCTCCATATCCCATGTTTTGTTTACACTTGCTAAAATAAGACCTCGACCTTGTTACATGCTACGATGTTTTAATCTCACCAACCATCCTGTGTTTACGTAATGTCGCCCGTCTTTATTGAGGGATTAGACTGTCGTGTGTTTACATCTGTCAGGATACCACTTATCCTAGTGACACATAGGATACCACTTATCCTAGTGACACATAGGATACCACTTATCCTAGTGACACATAGGATACCACTTATCCTAGTGACACATAGGATACCACTTATCCTAGTGACACATAGGATACCACTTATCCTAGTGACACATAGGATACCACTTATCCTAGTGACACATAGGATACCACTTATCCTAGTGACACTTAGGATACCACTTATCCTAGAGACACATAGGATACCACTTATCCTAGTGACACATAGGATACCACTTATCCTAGTGACACATAGGATACCACTTATCCTAGTGACACATAGGATACCACTTATCCTAGTGACACATAGGATACCACTTATCCTAGTGACACATAGGATACCACTTATCCTAGTGACACATAGGATACCACTTATCCTAGTGACACTTAGGATACCACTTATCCTAGTGACACATAGGATACCACTTATCCTAGTGACACATAGGATACCACTTATCCTAGTGACACATAGGATACCACTTATCCTAGTGAGACAATCCAATGTATCCCAAAATCCCGTGTTTACGCGTGTGATCCAGCACTGAGTAGTATAGTCACGTGATTGACATCTCGCTCTAACCCATAACACACTTGAGTCGCGTATTGATTTCTTTACTTGAGAAGTTAGCGCTGTGTGTCACACGGCTACCGTGACATTTGGGCTGCTAGTCTGGCTGTTGTGGTGACATCTGAACGGCTGCTGTAGTGACATTTGGACGGCTGTTGTAGTGACATTTGGGCTGCTGTTGTAGTGACATTTGGACGGTTGTTGTAGTGACATTTGTGGTGTTATTGTGACATTTGGACGGCTGTTGTAGTGACATTTGGGCTGCTGTTGTAGTGAAATTTGGTCGGCTGTTGTAGTGAAATTTGGTCGGCTGTTGTAGTGACATTTGAGCTGTTATTGTGACATCTGAACGGCTGTTGTGACAATTGCAGCTGTCGGCTGTCTGTCACTAGACACTTTTCATGTGTCCCGCTGTATGTCATGTGACTCCCGTAACGAGAGACCAAATCTAGGCCAGGCAACTGACCCTTCAAGTAAATAAACTGCTTGGACTGTGCCAGACAGCTTCAACATCTGATACACAGGGGGGGGGGTGTCTCACCCCGCCCTCCCTCATGAACCGTCAGACAAAACTCGGCCTCGCGTGCTACTGGTACCACCACACCCTTTGTCGCGTGCTACTGGTACCACCACACCATTTGTCGTGTGCTACCACCACACCATTTGTCGTGTGCTACCACCACACCATTTGTCGTGTGCTACCACCACACCATTTGTCGTGTGCTACCACCACACCATTTGTCGTGTGCTACCACCACACCATTTGTCTGGTACCACCATACCATTTGTCGCGTGCTACTGGTACCACCACATAATTTGTCGCGTGCTACTGGTACAACCACACCATTTGTCGTGTGCTACCACCACACCATTTGTCGTGTGCTACCACCACACCATTTGTCGTGTGCTACCACCACACCATTTGTCTGGTACCACCATACCATTTGTCGCGTGCTACTGGTACCACCACACAATTTGTCGCGTGCTACCACCACACCATTTGTCGTGTGCTACCACCACACCATTTGTCGTGTGCTACCACCACACCATTTGTCGTGTGCTACCACCACACCATTTGTCGTGTGCTACCACCACACCATTTGTCGTGTGCTACCACCACACCATTTGTCTGGTACCACCACACCATTTATCGCGTGCTACTGGTACCACCACACCATTTGTCGCATGCTACTGGTACCACCACACCATTTGTCGCATGCTACTGGTACCACCACACCATTTGTCGCGTGCTACTGGTACCACCACACCATTTGTCGCGTGCTACTGGTACCACCACACCATTTGTCGTGTGCTACCACCACACCATTTGTCGTGTGCTACCACCACACCATTTGTCGCGTGCTACCACCACACCATATGTCTGGTACCACCACACAATTTGTCGCCAGATGTCTTTAGACCAGTTGCGTAGGTGAGCGTATAGTGTAGGCATCACACAGCCACACACACAAACAGCCACACATAGCCAGCCCCCCCCCCCCCACACACACACATAGCCAGCCCCCCCCCCCCCCACCTAGCCAGCCCCCCCCCACACACCCACCTAGCCAGCCCCCCCCCCCCCACACAGCCCCACCTAGCCAGCCCCCACACACACAGCCCCACCTAGCCACCCCCCCCCACACAGCCCCACCTAGCCAGCCCCCCCCCCCCATACACACACAGCCCCACCTAGCCAGCCCCCCCCCCCACACAGCCCCACCTAGCCAGCCCCCCCCCCCCCCACACAGCCCCACCTAGCCAGCCCCCCCCCCCACACAGCCCCACCTAGCCAGCCCCCCCCCATACACACACAGCCCCACCTAGCCAGCCCCCCCCCACATACACACACAGCCCCACCTAGCCAGCCCCCCCCCCCCCCCCCCACACACACACCCATCTAGCCGGCCACACCCCAGTCCACACCTGAATCTACCTAGCCATGACGTAGCTCCGTGTGTAACCACGGTTAAAGCCCCAGTTGAAAGCTGAACTCGACACTCGCTGATAATAAAGTGTGCACCACAGGAACCATTTCACGAGAGCCGCTACGGATGAATGGCTTTACTAGAACTTTCGCCTGTGTTGACGTGTAAACATACATGTAGACCTTAGACTTCGCTTCACAGTCGACACATGCTCCCAATGGTATGGATTCGCTGTTGAGGTTCTAATAGATCTGCTGTTGATGTTCTAATAGATGGGTCAGCTGTTGATGTTCTAATAGATCTGCTGTTGATGTTCTAATAGATCTGCTGTTGATGTTCTAATAGAACGGATCAGCTGTTTTTGCTTGTCTAAATTACCAGTTTGATGACTTGTTGTCCTGTAGTGTAGAAAGACGATAACAAATGTTGAACTAGAACACGTGACTGTCTGACAGCTTTGGTAGTGTTTACTGCTGAAAAACGTTACTTTTAAAGTTATGTCTGTCGTCTGGTCTGTCGTCTGGTCTGTCGTCCACCACCTGGTCCAACATTAGACAGTCCTCATAATGTGGCCGGCTGACTTACAATCATCACATCCAGCAAACATCCCATATTTAAGTAGCTCTGTAGTAATTAAACAGTCAGAAAATATCAGCAGTGTTTAGTTAATGACTGACAGTTTAAAAAATGTCAGTAGAATTTATGCTCTGTGTGACTTTTTTTATCAAAACATGCATCTTGACGTGACGGAACTTATACACGACGAGTTTATCACCGCCATCTTACGGCCGTCAAAACAATCGATAAACGGCCGTCTTGACAGAATCATGGGCTGATACTGTCATGTTGGTAGCAGGTGCTGTGGGCAGCTTGTGTGTGACAGACCAGCATACGTCTCAGTAAGTTTATGTGTGACAGACCATCATAAGTCTCAGTGAGTTTATGTTGTGTGTGACAGACCAGCATAAGTCTCAGTGAGTTTATGTGTGACAGACCAGCATAAGTCTCAGTGAGTTTATGTGTGACAGACCAGCATAAGTCTCAGTGAGTTTATGTGTGACAGACCAGCATAAGTCTCAGTGAGTTTATGTGTGACAGACCAGCATAAGTCTCAGTGAGTTTATGTTGTGTGTGACAGACCAGCATAAGTCTCAGTGAGTTTATGTTGTGTGTGACAGACCAGCATAGTCTCAGTGCATGCCGGACAACACCTGTCAGAAAGTACCTGTCAGACAGTTGGTGAGGGGGGGGGGGTGTGATATTAAGACTCGGGTTCTGCCCGTCTGTGCTAGTACATTTCATGTCGACGTCTTCAACATTCCTGTCTGTTGAACTTAACATTCCTGTCTGTTGAACTTCGATCCTAATCGATTTTGTAGAAACTATTTTTTTTACCCATAGGCGGTCGTGTAACATGCCGTACATCTGTCAGACACGTCTGTCTGACCATAACATACATCTGTCAGCTAACTGACCATCACACACATCTGTCAGCTAACTGACCATCACACACATCTGTCAGTCTGACCATCACACACATCTGTCAGCTAACTGACCATCGCACACATCTGTCAGCTAACTGACCATCACACACATCTGTCAGCTAACTGACCATCACACACGTCCGTCAGCTAACTGACCATCACACACATCTGTCAGCTAACTGACCATCACACACATCTGTCTGACCATCACACACATCTGTCTGTCTGACCATCACACACATCTGTCAGCTAACTGACCATCACACACATCTGTCAGCTAACTGACCATCACACACATCTGTCAGCTAACTGACCATCACACACGTCTGTCAGTCTGACCATCACACACATCTGTCAGCTAACTGACCATCACACACGTCTGTCAGCTAACTGACCATCACACACATCTGTCAGCTAACTGACCATCACACACATCTGTCTGACCATCACACACATCTGTCTGTCTGACCATCACACACATCTGTCAGCTAACTGACCATCACACACATCTGTCAGCTAACTGACCATCACACACATCTGTCAGCTAACTGACCATCACACACATCTGTCAGCTAACTGACCATCGCACAAGACTGTCAGCTAACTGACCATCACACACGTCTGTCAGCTAA